GCTCAAAGCTGTCAAATGATCATCACAGCTGGTGGCAGAAAATAACAGAGAATCAAATGGGAAACATTATCTTCGGCGGATACGAGAGCAAAACTTGCAAACAACACTGCACGATGGTTTGAACAGATTCTGGTGATGACGGCTGATGATGAAACGAGTAAAAACTGTTTAAGAGCGGCTAGCTCTGGGCTGCGGCTGAAAACGAGTTGGCCTGCCGCCTGGGAATCAGAAACGAACTTCGGGTGGAGAGGGGGGTTCAACTAGCTGTTAGCGAGCAGGCTGCATTCAGGAAATGGCTTGGAAACAAAGAACCTTTAACTTGAATCCGGTATGAAAAAGCGCACTGAATGTCAGTGAACGCAGTTGCAAAAGCGAAAGCTGATTCGGGGAAAAAGTTCAGTGAGCCGCTGGAGTCGAATTTTTAAGCAGCAAACAAGGTGTTCTGGCAGTCCATCTGCCCTCTCCGAGATGGAAATAAAGACAGTTTGACGGTCCTGAAGGGCTATTCCGGAAGCGTTCTTAATAAAGAAAGATATACTTCGACGATGGCGAGAGTACTTTGAGAAACTCGAACCCCGAGCTACCGCAAGAAAACTCGCCTGAAGAGCAGCGGTCAAAGGATATTAATCTTTCATTATAAGAGGCCACAGAAAGTGTAAAAAGGTTGAGAAATAACAAGGCTACTGGAATCGATGAAATCCGCCCTGAGATCCATAAAGTTGGAGCGAGCCATACTGGACCTAGTACGTGTGTCAAACTGTAATGACTTCCTTATACTTAAATGATGGACCCAATTCTAGCATCCTTATTTTCACTAAGTTAATGGTGGGGACACTGATCTCAACTTCCATGGCATCAGCCAGGAGTGACTTGCTTTTCAAGGCAAAATCGACAGCACGTATGAAAAAAGCATAGTATGCACTCTATCGTTTCCTTCTCAATCATCTATCAGAATGGTACTTGTTTATCATCCTTGGAAAAAAGAAACGCGTATCCGAAACGGAGCCAGAACTCAGGATCTTCCAGCTTTGAGTCTAACGCTCTGCCGCCTGAATAACTCCAGTCTGAAGCAACATGGGATAAGTTGCTCGCTCAAAGGAATTTGTGGTAAAGAGAAAAATTGCCCGCCGTGCGAATCGATGATGGCACCTGCAGAGTGCCAGTTCGATGCCGACATCTTACGCACACAATCCACCACACAGAGGCCGCAAACGAAAGACGAAGAGGAAGCAGGATTGGCAAATCACTGCGTCAAAACAAACTACACGTTGAAATGAAGCCAACTATCTGCTCAAGGAACAAAATCGGGTATTGAAGGAAGTGCTAATAACTCAGTCCTCCAACAATACTAAGAACAAAGAGCAGTTCGAAACGCAATGTCTGGACAAATTTTACTAAGTCTAGTGAAACTGCAATAATGCCTGACGCATGTGCATTCATTCCGTAGTTCAGATTTCGCAGCAACAGAAGCGCAATTCAATACCGGAATCGGATACAACCGCCATCTTCTGACCCAGGTGGATGGAATTCAGAAATAGCCGCCCTTTCAGACAATCTACCACTGTGGCTGAAGATAAGTAGCAGGAATTCTCATCCAGTTCCGTATATGTAGTTACCGTGTTGCGTCTTGCTGTCAAAAATACATAGTAGATTTACAGGAATTAATCTTCTTCCAACAGAGACTTTCTGG